CCCGGTGGCTTAAAACTCACGTTGGGCGCGTGTGTGTGCATGCCCAAGATCCCGAGAGGAGAATGGAGAAGGGAATGCGGCATGACCATCCCCCCTGGGGGGTGATTTCTCGCTTTCTGTCTCTATGTCTCTCTCTGTCTGTCTGGCGAGTACACACGCCCTATAGCGAAAACCTCTCAAAAAAAATTAAAAATAAATAAATAAATAAGAATGATTTATTAATTTTAATTATTATTATTTTTAATTTGCTGTAGAGCACATGCACTCACCAAAGAGAGACAGAGAGAGAGGGAAAGTGAGAAAATAAGTCGCCAGGTCTGGGACTCCTCAACCATGGTTGGTCATGTGGGAGCCCAACACCTTAGCCATCACACCACCTGCTGGTCCCCTTTATGTGGCATTTCAGTGTAATGTTAATGGGAGGAATGAGAGTCAAATGAATGAGCTCAAATTGCTACCTTGACATAGGAGGGAACTTGGTTCATTTTGGGGACCAGCAAATGGCATAATGGTTACATTGCTGAACTCCCACATGGCCAACTGTGGTTCAAGTCCTGGACCCAGTGGCTTCAACCTTTTACCAGGCATGTGTGCCCAAAATCCCACAAGGAGAATAGAGAAGGAATTGTGTCATGGCCATCCCCCCAGGGGGTGATTTCTTGCTTTCTGTCTCTTTATCTCTCTCTGTCCCTCCAGTAAGTGCATGTGCCTTATAGCAAAAATCTCTCTAAAAAAAAAAAAAAAAAGTAAGCAAAAAGTATACGTGGTTCTTTTTTTTTCCCCTAAGAATTATTTATTTAAATCCATTTGTTATTATTATTATTATTTAATTTGACCAGAGAGAGACAGATTGAGAGAAAGGGAAAGCTAGAAAGCAAGTCGCCAGGTCTGGGACTTGAACTGCAGTCAGCCATGTGGAAATCTAGTGCCGTTAACCATCTGTCATCCCCTACTTGGTTCATTTTCAAAGCTCTTTTTTACTATTTTTTAAAATTTTCCGTTCTTAACCATTTAAATTTTTAATCCTGCGTTTATTTTCTTTGGTCTCTTAATAAACCTATCTACCGTCTTCGGTAATTCGCTGTCTTGGTAGTAGCTTCAGAAATCTCCACATCACAGAGAGCCAGGAAGCCATCTCCTCCCACTATGCCAGCAGCAGTGGCTGCCCCCATAGTACATCTGCTCTCCCTTTCCACGGTAGGTAAGCAATAATGATACTTTAATGCCCAGATTTCTAAAATCTTGCTATTTCTTGGCTACTTGAACCGTATTGTTTTTATGAAAAGCCACTGTCAATGGTATCTAGCATATGCCACCACTGGATCTGAGAGACAGTGTCAACGGTAGGCCCTTAGAGCACTGGAGTTAGATTATGCCAGGGGAGGGCTCTTACTTCAAAGATGCAGGCCTTACCTTGATGAGGAACCAAGGATGCTGGAGAAATGCAGAGGAGGATAAAGCTCTTGTCACAGCCTTATCTGTGTGCCTTACACACAGCGACTTCTTTTTTTTTTTTTTTTGGAGATTTTCACTGTAGGGCGCGTGCGCTCGCCAGACAGACAGAGAGAGACATAGAGACAGAAAGCGAGAAATCACCCCCCAGGGGGGATGGTCATGCCACAATCCCTTCTCCTCCATTCCCCTCTTGGGATCTTGGGCACGCACGCACACGCGCCTGGCGTGAGTTTTAAGCCACCGGGTCCGGGACACGAACCGCGGTCGACTACGTGGAAGTCCAGCGACATAGCCATTACGCTAACTGCTGGTTCCCTAGACACAGCGACTTCTGAAGCTGGCCTTGTGTCTTGTTGGTGGGAGGTACCCACTGGGATCTTCACCAGACCCGGAGTTTCCAAATGGAGCAGGAAGAGCTACAGTAGCCCTGTTGGGCCTGGTGATCCTAATTTCCCTTCAAGCCAAGTTTTTTTTTTTCTTTTCTTTTTTTGGAGAGTTTTTGTTGTTGTTGTTGTTGTTGTTTGTTTGTTTGCTTGTTTTTTTTGCTATACGGCGTGTGCTCGCCAGACAGACAGAGAGAGACAGAGAGACAGAAAGCAAGAAATCACCCAGCAGGGGGGATGGCCATGCCACAATCCCTTCTCCTCCATTCTCCTCTCAGGATCTTGGGCATGCACGCACACGCGCCCGGCGTGAGTTTCAAGCCACCAGGACTAGGACGCGAACCGCAGTTGACTACATGGGAGTCCAGCGACACAGCCATTACGTTAACTGCTGGTCCCTCAAGCCAAGTTTTTAACAGACGGCATTTTGGGCAGCAGACTCCCCAGCTTTTCCCAGTGGAGGGAAAAATCCAGTGGATTTAGATTTCACAAGCAGAGAGGTAGAGTTCTGGGAATGAGGGGGAGTGTGAATGCTGGCCGAGAAGCAGCGGCCACCTCTTCCCTCTCGGGTCACATGGGGGACGAAGCTTTAATGTGGGTACTTTCCCCTTTCTGTGTGGCTGAGGGTGCCATACAGCCCACCAACTTGGGAAATAATGATGGTCTCTTTCTGAAATTTGCCAAGTCATAGGATCTGCCAGCACTTCGTTGTCCTGAGAAAAACAGTCATGATAAAAAGAATGTGGCAAGGGGCCAGCAGGTAGCATGGTGGTTAAGGGCGCTGGACTCCCACATGGCCAACTGCGGTTCAAGTCCCAGACGTGGCAACTTGCTCTCTCACTCTCTCTCTCTGTCCCTCTCTGGTCAAATTAAAATAAATAAAATAAAGTTAAATAAAAATAATTTTAAAAAATATTTATTTAATTAATTTATTATTTTCTACTAATTTGATGAGAGAAGGAGAGAGAGGGAGAGAGACACAGAGAGAGAACGCAAGCCGCCAGATCCAAGACTCAAACCACAGTCAGCTATGTGGAGTCCAGCACCTCAATCACCACACCACCTACTGGCCCCCAAAATATAATTTCTTTTTTTTAAGAAAAGAATGCAACAGGCTCAGCCACAGCAATGCATGTTTTCAGGGGTTCTTCTGCAATACTGGAGGTGACATGGAAGACTGGCAGTCGGGTCCCAGGTTGACCCAGGCACTCCTGCACGTGTGCCTGAGATCCTGGCTGATTGGAAGGCTGAGGAATGGGGCGAGGAGTGATCATGGCATGATGAGACCCTGTTGATGGTGCCTGTCTCCCCATCGTTGTTTCTCGCTCTCTCTTGTGAAAGAGATAAACTTAGAAAGAAAAGATGAAGAAAGGAGGAGAAATTGCCTGGAGGAGACAGCATTCCGATCGCTTAGTTTGAGAACACAAGAGCTCCATTTACATTGAACTGGTAACATGAAAAATGGCAAGCCGTGGGACCAGCAGATGGCGTAATGGTTATGTCGCTGGACTCCCACATGGCCGACCACAGTTCGGGACCCAGACCCAGTAGGTATGTGTGCATGTGTGCCCAAAATCCCCAGAGGCGAATGGAGGAGAAGGAACTGCGGCATGGCCATGCCCCCTGGTGGGTGATTTCTTGCTGTCTGTCTCTCTGTCTCTCTCTGTCTCTCTGGCAAATTCACCTGCCCTATAGCAAAAATCTCTAAAAAATAAAAAGAAAAGTGGCAAGGCTCAAGCCAGCTTGCTGCTATGACCCTCCTCCCTTCCCAGTGATGGAGTGATTCGGCCCAATGTCGTCCACAAGCAAACCTGCGGCCTCGCTCTCCCGGATGGTGGGGATCCAGCAGTAAGAGGTGATGGACTGGAGAGCCTTGGGAATTCAGCAGAGGGGGATATAAAGAGCAAGAATCTCCCAAGCCTGGGGAGTGCGATGGGGAGCCCCTAGAGAGCCCTCCCAGAACAGACATTAACCAAACATGCTAGAGAAGTGCCAGCATTTGGACACCTGCCTCAAGGAGGAAACCAACAAAAATGTCGAGACAACAAAACAGAATGTGAGAAGCCCTTGGCTGTCTGTCTTTGCTGGGAACGGCCAAAATATGCTTTTAGCAGCCAAATAATGACTGTGCGGGGTCACACATATGGGCGTTTTTTTTACTCTTCTCTCAAGTTCTGCTTATCAATTTTAATAAAACTGGTGTTTCTGTCAGCATTTCATCCATAAGAAGTATGCTTGGAAGGGCCAGTGGGCAGCCTGGTAGTTAAGGCACTGGACTCACACGGTCGATCTCAGTTCAAGTCCCAGACCCGATGGCTTGAAACGCACACCAGGTGCATGTGCGTGGGTGTCCAAAATCCTAAGAGGAGAATGGAGGAGAAGGGATTGTGACCTGGCCATTTCCCTGTGAGGGGGGGGTGATTTCTCACTTTCCCTCTCACTGTCTCTGTCTCTCTCTCTGCCCACTCCCCCCCCCGCCCACTCCCACATGCCATAAGGTAAAAACCTCTTTAAAATAAAATTAAAAAAAAAAGAAGTATGACTGGAAGATTTAAGATTTAATGGTAATAAACTTGGAGGGACTTAGCAAGGCCTGTGTGTTCAGATTCTTCGTGGCCTCCAGAGCAAGACCTCTCTGGAATGAGGATCTTCTGGCCTACTTTCCAGGAAGGTGGGTCACAGGATTCTTTCTGTTCCACTTCAGGGGGGAAAGGTGGGAGAGAGGTCAGAGAATGACCTTCCTGTTTTCATAATTTCCCTCAGCCTAAAATACACAGTATGCCAGTATGCTTTTTTGGGGTTGTTATGTTCTGAGCCCCAACAAAACTGAGAAGTAGTAAATCCTCTACTGGAGAAAGGCAAAGACCTTGAGCTCTAGTCAGAAATCCAGCCTGAAAGGGACTTTTTCACTGTCTCAGATGGCCCTGTTGTAAACATCTCCAATGACAAAGATCTCCAGTTATCCAGTTCACCTCACCCTTGGGCCACCAAACAAGTTGGTCTATGATAAAGACCAGAGACTAAGACAAGTGGATGTTGTTGGCCCAGAAGAAAGCAGCTGGCCAAAGGGATTTCCCCGAGTAAGTGCGAATACTGCTACTGCCCGAGTGGAGAGTAAGGGGCCGGCAGAATGGCACTTAATCTACATTTCTTCTTGCTCACCTTGCCATGCCATCAGGATTCCCAGTCAGCTGTGGTAGTACGGAGGCAATGAAAGGCTCCACGATGCTGAGGCCATATCACAAGGACCCAGGTTCACATCCTGAGCACTCCCCCTGCTGGGTGTGTGCATACATGCCCACGACCAGGGCTGGATGAGACTGGGTGGAGCATGGTGTGAAGAATCTGTTGGAAGTGTTCGTCTCTCTCTCTTTTTCTTTTTTTTCTGTCTCCCCTTTTCATGGAAGAAAAAAATACATCTTAAAAAAATTAGAGGTCCCTAGTACATTAGCAAGAGGAAGTTTAGACCAGGTCGCAAGAAGACCTGCTCCAAGCTTACCTTCACATGGCTTAGGTAGAAAGACAGCAGAACACAGGGTGAGCCGGCACGGGCCAGCAGAACCAGTCACGGTGATGTCCGAGCTAAGATCCAACATCGCGAGGCAAGGTCCAGAGCCTGTGGTTCACCAAACAGGCAAGTACAAAGGCTCCAGAGGTTGACACAAGACTAGCCTAAGTGTACTCTGTTAACTTCTCTGTAAATACAAAATAAAGCATTCCCATAAACAAGACAAAAGGTTAAAGCCTTGGAACCAGGAAATTAAAAACTAAGAAGTAATTTCCTATCCTAATCACCAAAATGGTGATGAAATAAAACCACATTTACATACAGAATCGTTGGGATATTTGGGACCTCACTAAAATACCTTTCCAGAAGGACCAGCCGATGGTGCAATGGTTGTATTGCTAGACTCCCACATAGTGGATCGCGGTTCAAATTCTGGACCCAGCAGCTGAAAATTCACTCCTGGCATGTGTGCATGTGTGTCCAAGATCCTGAGAAGAGAATGGAGAAGGTATTACAGCATAGCCCTCTCCCCAGGAGGTGATTTCTCGTTTTCTGTCTGTCTCTAGTGAGCACACGTGCCCTTCTTGTACAAATATCTCTTTAAAAAAGAAAAAGAAAAAGAAGAGAGAAAGAAAAAGAGAGAAAGAAAGAAAGAAAGAAAGAAAGAGAAAGAAAGAGCTTTCTAAAAGCTAGAGTCCATTTTCTCAAGTCTTAAGAAAGAGTCCAGCAGCAGCAGTAAAATCTCTCATTCCGTACTATTGATTCTAACGGAAATTGATCAACTGGATGATAGGTCTGACTTTTCTCGGTAGCACAAATCCTTAAACAACAACAAAATCTTCTCTGGACTTTGTGGCTATTCATTCATTATTGCTGAGTTTGGGAGACATGTTTATACTGTCCGGATGATATGAGCAGCAAGTGTGTGTGTGTGCCAAATCTTCAAACCAACTCAAATTGACTTGGAAAATAAATTTACTATCTCAAATAACAAGGAATTGAGAAGCAGGGCTACTTCAGAGGCTCAATAATGTCATAAGGTAACCCCAACCCTGTCCTTTTTAGGGAGAGGTTTTTGCTATCGGGCGCGAGCACTCGCTAGAAAGAGAGACAGACGGACAGAAAGTGAGAAATCACCCGCCAGGGGTGATGCCACGCCACAGTCCCTTCTCCTCCATTCTCCTCTCAGGATCTTGGGCACGCATACACACTCACACGCCCAGTGTGAGTTTAAGTCACTGGGTCTGGGACTCGAACCATGGTCAACCACATGGGAGTCCAGCAGCATAACCATTATGCCAACTGCTGGTCCCAACCCTGTCTTTTCTATGCTCCACATGGCCTCTTGTCTCTCTCCTCAAGATGGTTCCCCTCATTTAACACTGGGAGCCACCAGCCACCCTTCATTACCAGGAATGGGATATGTGACCCTCTCTTGTAGAATTGCTCCAAATTCACCAGCAGTTGGGAGGAAAGAATAGTCTCAGACATAAGCTATGAAAGGCTTCTTTATTATAAGTAATGAAAATGGATAACAATGAAACAATAAATATTCCCTTCAAACAAAATTAAATACCGTGGCCCAAAATACCCAAAATAATGCATTGGTCCGTAACTGTTTTCTTCAAACATAAGCACTACATATATAAATCCTTCAATCTGGAAGCTTTATAGTGTGTTTCATCGTCCTGAAAACATCTTACAGTAATCATAATTTGTTTTTGTGATATTACAATCATAATAATCATCTTATTTTAATATTTGAAAAAGACTACAATTTGGATCCTTTAAGGAAATTTCCATTTTGACTCAATAAAATATCCATATGTATTTACATATCTTACTCTTCAAAGTAGGCCCCTTCTAGATGTCTTGGATATTTCACCCTTTTCTATGAAAGTGTATGCGACTCATAAGTTCTCTGAACTTCAGCATTAAGGAGGAATTATTCATGTTGTCTTTCCACATTTCATAAGTCCTTCTAAATTTGTCAAAATAACGTTCTTTTTTCATGTTGACGTCTGATTCAGTTGTTTTTAAGTAACTGTCTTTTTTCCATATTTCTCTCCAGGAGTCTTTGAATTTTTCCAAATAACTTTCTTTTTCTGATTCTTCCTTCCATATTCCTTCTCTCTTTTTTAATGCTGCTAATTCAGCTTTAAGTAAGTTTCTGTGAATTTTCCAGTAGATTTTAGAATCATGATTTAGCCCTTTCACGAGAACAGTTTTGCCAAGTCCTCTTCTCAAAATTTCTTCATTCAGACTCACATTAAAATATCCACCCTTGAGTAAAAAATAACACAAACCAATTATTCAAGAAATGTTATAATAACCATGAGATCTGGTTTATTTTAAAATCAGTTATTCAGTGCCAGAAGGTTGCATGGTAGTTAAGACACTGGATTCCCACACCACCACACCATTTGAGTCCTGGACCTACCAGCTTGAAAATTCTACTATGTGCACATGTGCAAGTGCCCCATATCCCGAGGAGAGTGCAGAAGGGATTGTGGAGTGGTTATTCCCCTGGGGGATAATTTCTCAGTTTCCTTCCCGCTGTCTCTCTCCAGTGAGTGTACACACCCTATGGCGGGTGGCATGATGGTTGAGGGCCCTGGACTCCCACATGGCCAACCGTGGTTCAAGTCCTGGACTTGGCAGCTTGCGTTCTCACTTTCTCTCTCTCTTTCTCTCTGTTCCTTTCTGTTGAAATTAAAATAAGTAAATGTTAAGTAAAAAAAAAAAAAAAAATTATTTAAAAAATATTTTTTAAAAAAGGGGAAAATTCCAAGTTTAAGCCAGGAGACATTTCATTTTATTTATTTATTTTGCCAGAGGGTAAGGGCACTTGTCAGAGAGAGAGAGGAAAGCAAAAAGCATCCCCCATGGGGAATGGTCACACCACAACATCCTTTCCCTCCATTTCTCCTTCTTCTCAAGACTTTCGGCGGACACACACAAGCACCCAGAATTTTTATCAATCTGTCAGATCCTGGCCTCTAATGACACAGTTGGTCGAGTGGGGTTCAGTCATCCTAACGACCAGGCCACAGGCTGGCCTGGAACATTTCCTAAGTTCATTTCAAGAAATAATCTTCACAAAAAATTTTATTGTTAGGGTCAGTCAGTGGTGTGATGGTTAAGGGAGCTGTATCCCACACGGCCAACTGCATGGTTCAAGTCTCAGATCCAGTGGCTTGAAAAGCACACCAGGTACGTGTGCATGTGTCTCTGAAATCTCAAGAGGAGAGAGAAAAGAAGGAGAAGGGATTCTTGCATGGCCAATCCCCATGGGAGGTACTTTCTTACTTTCTCTCTCTCTCTCTCTCTGTCTCTCTCCAGTGAGCATGTGCCTCCTCAAGCATTTCTTTTAATCTGTTAAATACAACATCTTAAAAGACGAATGAATTTTATTCCTCTAAATGTTATAACTTTTGGTATGTGATGATAAGTTAGTAAAAAATGTTAGCAAAGGTTTATCACATTTTTCTCAATCTTTTCAATTTTATGATCTTATTCCCTTGAACCAAAATTATAGTAATTAAAATTCAAACTCATACATCAGTAAAATCCAAATAGGAGAAGTGAATGATCACAATATGCGTATAACATAGCTTGCTCGGGACCAGCAGTTAGCGTAATGGCTTATGTTGCTGGATTCCCACGTAGTCGACCGCGGTTTGCGTCCCGGACCCAGTGGCTTAAACTCACGCCGGGCGTGTGTGCGTGCGTGCCCAAGATCCCGAGAGGAGAATGGAGAAGAAGGGATTGCGGCGTGGCCATCCCCTCTGGGGAGTGGTTTCTCGCTTTCTATCTCTCTGTCTCTCTCTGTCGGTCTGGCGAGCACACGTGCCCTATAGCAAAAATCTCTCCAAAAAACATAGCTTGCTCACCAGGGAAGCGATATAAGGTAAAGATATAGGATGAGGACCAACCTGCAGAATAGTGGTTGGGGAAGCTGTATCCCACGTACTGACCACCCCAGCAGCTTAAAAATCACGCCGGGCCCATGGGTGTATGCGCCCCAAATCCAAATGGGATGGAGAAGGGATTGTGGCATGATTACACCCCACTGGGGATGCTTTTACTCTCTCTGTCTCTTTGGCCAGCACATGTGCCCTCTGGCAATTAAGAAAAAAAAAAGAAAAGAAAGAACTGAATATGATCTGGACATCGGAAATTAATGAGTTCATTAGGCTCTCTATTACTAAGTCTGGAAGCTTCTAAGAAGTAAAATAGTTTGGGGCTGGCAGGTGGTATGGTGGTTAAGGGCACTGGACTCCCACATGTCAACTGTGTTTCGAGTCCTGGAGCTGATAGATTGCTTTCTCTCTCTCTCTATTTGTCCCTCTCTGGCCAAATTTTAATGAACGAATTAATTAAGTTAAATAAAATAATTCTTAAAAAAAGAGAGAGAATTAAAATAGTTCAAATTCTAATCATTTTTATATGAATTTTCTTCTTCAGATTATTCTTGTTATACGAAAAGGGACTTAAAAAAATTGCTTTTACTCCTGTCATAATAACACTTAAACCATTTATTTTTAAAATTTTCACTTTTCAATAATCACCACATACACGCTATTTTTAAAATTATTTATTTAATTTCAAAAAAATATTTTATTTAACTTTATTTATTTATTTTAATTTGACCAGAGAGGGACAGCATGAGAGTGCGAGTGACAGAGAAAGAGAGAAATTGAGAAAGCAAGTTGCCAGGTCTGGGACACGAACCACAGTTGGCTATGTGGGAGTCTAGTGTCTTAAACCACTATACCACCTGCTGGCCCCTATTTAATTTTTTAAATCATTGTTATATTATTTTAATTTGCTACAGAGTACATGGGATCACCAGAGAGAAAATGAGAGAAAGTGAGAAAGCAAGCAGCCAGGTCCAGGACTTGAACCACAGTCAGCCATGTGGGAGTCAAACACTTTAACCACCATGCCACCTGCTGGGCCCCATAGACTTTTTAATATAGTTAGAAAGTTAGAAATCAGTCTAGATAAAATTCTGTATTGTGCATTTTTTTTTCCTTTCATTTTTGCTATAGGGTGCATGCTATGCACTCCCTGGAGGGAGACAGAGAAAGAAGGAAAGTGAGAAATCACCGCCCGGGGAGACAGTCACACGGCAATCCCTTCTTCTCCAATCTCCTCTCGGGATTTTGGGCATGTACACATGCACACGTGGTATGCCTTTTAAACTTCAGGTCCAGGACTCAACCTGCACATTGGCCATGTGGGATTCAGCTGCCTTAACCACTATGCCACCTGGCTGGCTCTGTATTCTGCTTTCTAAAAAATTAAGTCAAGAAATTTTTTTTAAGCATGTTTTTGTAATCATCATAATTGTAATTTTAGTAAGTACATCACTGAAGTGACTAAAGAATAAAAATCTACTTGACAGCCCACCAAAAGAAATTTATGGCAAGGCAACCCTAGGATTCTGAACCATGGAATTCTGAATCTGGAAATTTGCAAGCAAGCCTGTGTGAATGCCCGAAATCCTGAGAGGAGATTGGAGAAGAAGGGATTGCAGTGTGGCTGTTCCCCTGAGGGGTGAATTCTCACTTTCCTGCTTTTTCTGTCTCCCTCCAGTGAATGCATGGCATGCACCCTATAGCAACAGAAATTAAAGTGTGTCATTCCCAGTTACATGCTGGCTGTGTCTAATCATAAAGGTAAGAAAGCTCTGAGCATTTTCAGATGGCTCACCAGAAACTGAAGATGCTCAGCTGAAGGGCTCAGACCTACACACTGACACACACTTACGGGCAGGGCACCGGAGCAGACTGGGAATATCTACCTCCAGAAAACACCCCTGCCTCCCTTCATGCTTTCCAGATGATAAGCTTCACTCAACAGTGGTTTCTTCTTCTTTCTTTCTTTCTTTCTTTATTTATTTTCCTTTCATTTATTTATTTTTACATTTTTCCACAAACATTTACTTTACATAGCAAAAAATTTTAGCTCATAATCCATAATTCTTGACAGTTTACAAACAACTTTCAAAATTTCAAAATACTGAATTTTAAAGATAATGATCAAAATAAGTCATATAATTTTGTATAATTTTATGACTCTATAACAACAGAAGCAGTATGGTGGTTTCTTCTTTTTTAAAGCTGTTCTCTAATATGTTAAATGATGCTAAGTAAAGGAAATAGGTACGGTGTGTTCGTAGTGTTATTTCACTTGGAGTGGGGGGGGTTTATCTGTTTGTTCGCTTGTTTTTGCTTTTAGTTTTGGCATAGGGTATGTGCGCTCACCAGAGAGAGACAGAGAGACAGAAATAGGAAGAGTGAAACTCCACAGGGGTTGGCCACAATCTCTTCTCCTTTATTCTCCTCTCAGGATCTTGAGTACACATATACTCACACCCTGCATGATTTTCAAGTCACTGGGTACAGGACTCAAACCAGATGGTCAGCTGTGTGGGATCCAGCACCTTCACCTTCATGCCACCTGCTGGCCCTCACAAGTGGTTTCTAATCATGAGCATGACATAATATACTCAGCATAAACAAATGTATAAGAGTCCTTAGGGGGCGGCAGGTGGTATGGTGGTTAAGGCAGCTGGACTCCCACATGGCTGACTGTAGTTTGAGTCCCGAATCCAGCAGCTTGCTTTCTCACTTTCCTTCTCTCTCTCTGGTCAACTTCAATAAAATAAGATAAAATAAAATAAGACAATGACAATAAATAAAATTAAATAAAATAATTCTAAAAAAAGAGAGAGAGAGAGAGAGTTCTTCAGTTAGCATGCCCAGGGTCATTAATAATTTAAAAGTTTTTCCCTTAATTTTCTATTTATTTTTATAAACATATATTACATGTATAACTAAAATATAAAAAAAATTATATATGAAACACCTGGTTCTCTCTATACTCTATTACTAAGTATTTAAAAAACAAATGAGAATATTCAGTGCCCCACTGTATATTAGAAGTTTGAATTAAGTGCTCACACATAGATAAAATATTGCTAATTATCTCTTCCCACTACTTACCTTATTCACTAGAAGGTAGCAAAAGAGCACTGAATTCTCCTTTCCGAGAAGCTGGAACCATAGCAGTTGGGACGGCTTTAGCTCATTCTGTAACCAGACCTTCCCGGTCTCAGTAAGTTCCACTCCGGCCAGTTTAACCAGTAGAGCACCACACGGCTCTTCTACAAACGTTAGGGAGGAAAGGGTTCAGTTTTAACAGAATACTGTCAGAGCAAATTCCAAAGTCATTTGCCACAAAGCCACCAAAAACGTTATGTTTATTTATGAATTCCCAGACTCTCTAAATGTAGGTTCATTTATTCCTATATTTAAATTTCATTAAAAACAACACAACTGTATTATGAATGAAGTAATTTCAAAAAATCGTTTCAGTAAACTCCAGAACAGAAAATGAGATTTAATCGATTTAACCTTTTTTCAACCTTCCACACTTACATCTATACAAAGACTCACAAGGCTACAGACATGGAGCTTAATAATATCAGCTGCTATTACCAATAGAAACTTTTTCATCTAACAACAGGGTATCTCACCACATCAACGAATATTGATAAACATCATTTTTATAATACATTCTGTAAAACTGACTTCCATATAGGATATTACCAATTTATATTCAAAATAACATAGTATGAAGATCTGTTTACTCAAATCCTTGGTAGAATTTTAACCAATTTAATTTGAACAAGATTTTTTTTTAAGAGAAAGTTTATATCTTTCAAAAAATGATAATGGCTTACTAAAAACAAACAAAAAAAAACACCTCAGGGCCTTTCTCTTATAAAATTTAACATATGTTAAGCTCTTACAAAGTACAACAAAGTATAAAGATTAATTTATCTAATCTCTAGAAATAATATGAGGTCTTTCTACAATTCTTTAATGTTGCCAATACAATCAACCAGCTTCCAATAAGATAGCTCTCTCTTTTTTCTTTTCTTTCCTGTTTTTTTAAGGTTTTGCTATAGGGAGCACACACTCATCAGAGACAGTAAGAGAAAAAGTGAGAAATCACCCCTCAAAGGGGGATGGCCACACTGCAATCCTTTCTCCTCTATTTTCCTCCTGTGATTGTGGGCATGCACACACATGTGCCCATTGTGATTTTCAAGTACCAGGTCAGGAGACTCCAACTGTGGTCGGCCATGAAGGAGTCCAGCATCATCCAATAAGATATCTCATACATTTTGAGACCAAGTCTTTTGAATCAAAAATTTGAAGTAAATCATCCATGAATCTAATTTAACACTGTCATCTTAAGTATTAATGTCCTCATTTGGCAGAAGTCATTGAATTTTTTTTTCTTTTTTTTTTTTTTTTGAGAGAGATTTTTGCTATTGGGTGTGTGTTCACTGAAGAGACAGAGGCATTCTCCTCTCCGAATCTTGGGCATGCACGCACACATGACCAGCATGAATCTCAAGCCACTAGATCTGAGACTGGAACCACGGTTGGCCATGTGGGAGTCTAGTGATATAACCATTATGCCTTCTGCTGGTCCTGGCCATTGGATTCTTAATTATTATTATTTTGCTCTAGGGTGTATGTGCTCATCAGAGAGAGAGAGAAGTCACTCCCCTGGGGGATGGCCACACCTCAATCCTTTCTCCTTCATTCTCCTCTCAGTATCTTATGCATTCATGTGCAGCAGTCAGCATGATTCCCAAGCCGCCAGGTCCAGGACTTGAACCATGCAGTTAGCCAGCGTCTTAACCTACTTGCCATTTTTGGCCCCATGCTGGCTTTTTTAAACAGTCTTCCTACATTGCCCAGGCCAGGCTTCGAGCTTGTGACCCTCCTGCTTCGGCCTCCCTGACTCTCTGGAATTACAGGCACACACCACTGTGTCTAATCTTTCAGGTTGGACCAGAAATTGAACCTAGGCCTCCCATGTGTTCCCAGCCTGTGGAACACAGTGTCTTAGCAGTGCACACCACTGCAGCTGAAACTCAATAAGAATTTAACAGTAATACTTTTTTTTTTTTTTTTTAAAGAATGAGTGTTCTGAAAGTTTTACTGTGTATCTTGTTTTAAATTTTGCCAGAGGGCATGTGCGCTCACCAGAGACACAGAGAGAGAGGGAGATATGTTCAAGCACCCCCTGAGGTCACACCAGGATCTCTTGTCCTCTGTTTTTCCCTCCTTCTGTGATTTCGGCTTGCACACACGTTGCCCAGTGTATTTCTCAGGCAGCGGGATCTGGGACTTATACCATAGGGTTGATCGTGTGAAATCCAGCTGCCCTGAGCTGATCTCATTTCATAAATTGTTTAAGGTATGGGGCCAGCCAGCAGTGTGATAATTAAGATGGCTGGATCCCACGTGGCTGACTGTGCGGTTCAAGTCCCAGACCCAGTAGCTTAAAAAACATATCAGGCACCTGTGCATTCATGTCCAAAATCCTGAGCGGAAACTGGAGAAGAGATCACAGAATGGTCATCCTTCCTGGGGCAGGGGGGTTGATTTCTCACTCTCCCTTTCTCTCTCTTTCTCTGTCTTTCTTTGGCTGAGTGCATGTCCCCTATTGCAAACTAAATAAAAGAAAAAAATTTAAGGTCTGTGTGTGTGTGTCCATGCCTCCTCACTCATATACACCCAGGATCACAGAAGGGAGAGTAAATCATAAAGACTCTTGTTTAATGGTGGTGGGAAACAGACCAGAACTAGAGACAGAACATCTCTCTCCACACTAATACATGTTCTGCCACACTACAGCCTCCAGTATAATAGAGAGCTACTCTTTTAATAAAGAATGATTTTATTTAACTTTATTTAGTTAGTTATTTTAATTTGACCAGAGAAGGACAGAGTGGGAGAGAGGGAAAGTGAGAAAGCAAGCCGCCAGGTCCAGGACTCAAACCACATTTGGCCAGGTGGGAGTCCAGACTCCTTCACCATGCCACCTGCTGGCCCCAATGCAGAGCCATAGTAACCAAACCTTCTTAGTATGAATAGTCTCACTTTTGAGGGCCTGAATCTTAATCCTCCTCACAACACAATCAGAAGCCCATTTATATCATATAAGCTAGATAGTAAAAATAGTGACAAGAGGGGCCAGCAGGTGGCGTGGTGGGTTAGGGTACTAGACTCCCACAGGCTGACTGTGGTTCAAGTGCCAGACCTGGCAGCTTGCTTTCTCACTTTCTCTCTCACTCTGTCCCTCTCTGGTCAAATTAAAAATAAATAAGTAAATAAATAAAGCTAAATTAAATAATTCTTTAAAAAATATAGTGACAAGAGCATAAAGAACTTTTAATTAATAGCTATTTCAAAATAAAGAAGATTGTCCCGTTCTTGTAACGTAGTGGTAATGCAATCTGTGATGCTACAGCCACGTGGGAAGGTCCTGAGTTCATGCTCAAGGCTTCCCTGTACTTGCTCAGCTTGTGAAGCCAGCTGACTGAGTCGGGAGTGGATCATGGCATGCACTGGGATGTCTGTCAGAGTGCCTGTCTGTCTATGTCTGTCTGTCTCGCTCTCATGGGAGAAAGATGGAAAGACACTTTTAGGACTAAATAATAAAATGAAAAGATTCTTCTCTGGCATTATTAAGTCATTCAAAATGGTACCTGAGTAGCAATTTTTCTAGTTATAAAACTATTTTACAGGTAAATAGGCTTCCTCTCTGAAAGTACAAAATAATCTCTCTCATATCAGCTGATAATGATTTATGTCAGTCACAAAAAGGTACTAGTACCATTGTTAATGGTTATAGCGACGTTTTCTAAGGGGTATAACACATATGTCTGCCTGTTTTTAACTTTTACATATGTGTACATGGAGTCTGAACTTAGTGGCAGAAAATCTGTTTTCCAGTTTGATTTTATCAATTATGAGATAGCTAGCTAGCTGTTTACATGTTTTTTTTTTTTTTTGTAGAGGTTTTTGCTATAGGACATGTGTGCTCGCCAGACAGAGAGACAGAGAGACAGAAAGCAAGAAATCACTCCCCAGGGGGGATGGCCACGCCACGATCCCTTCTCCTCCATTCTCCTCTTGGGATCCTGGGCACACACGCACACGCGCCTGGCGTGAGTTTAAGCCACCGGGTCCGGGACACGAAACGCAGTCAACTACGTGGGAGTGCAGCGACATAGCCATTACGCTAACTGCTGGTCCCTGTTTACATGGTATTTAATCCCTACAGAAAACATTAAGAAAGGGGGAAGAAAAGTAAGGAGGGAATTAAAGCTTCCGAGGTTCCTTTTTGCTGTAAAATTTTGATCCAAGGTACCAAGTTACATAAATATCTTGTTTTGACATGAGCACATTCGTAATAATAAACATATAAGGCAATGACAGGGCTGTGGCACTGCGTGACTTCGGGAGGCAGACTCAGTGACATGCTGCCTAGAATCCTGTGAGCATAACGGCAGGTGGTGGCCCTGCTGGCAAAGCTCTAAAGAATCATTACCACTTCAGATAAGACAGATTTAAATTATGACGGCAACTCAGAAGCCAAAGAACTTACGCGTATAGATCCTGCTTAGAGCTGAAATGGAAAAAAAAAAAATTCTAGGTAATCTATCTTCAGGGCGTATCATCAGCCAAACTGTGCAAAGTCTCTTTGTTTCGTTAAAAGAACCAATTGCCAGGGAAGCCCTAGTGTGGTGATTAAGGTGGCCAGATCCCATGTGGCTGACCCTGTGATTCGAGTGCAAATCAGGCAGCCTGAAAAACACACTGGGTGCAAAACAAAAAACAAAACAAAACAAAAACCCACTGGGTGCACGTGTAAGCATGCCCAAATCCAAAAAGAAGGGAGAAATGGAGAAGGGATTGCGTTTGGACCATCTCCCATAGATGGTGCCTTCTTACCCCCCCTGCCACTACAACCCCGCCCCCCCATCCCCTGTCTCACTCTCACTCTCCTCTCTCTCTGGCTAGTGCACATACTCTGCAGCAAAAATTTTAAAAAAAGGAGGAGGAGGGGATCAGTAGGTGGAATGGTGGTTCAGGCACTGGACACTCCTACATGGCCTCTCTAATTTTTTGGGCATGTACACATACCCAAAATCCCAAGAGAAGAATGGAGAAGGGAATGGAGGAGAAGGGACTGCAGTGTAGCCATCAACCCCGGTGGGTGATTTCTTACCTTCTCTCTTTCTGGGTCTCCATCTCACTTTGGCATGCACATGCAGCCTATAGCAAAATTAAAAAAATAAAATAAAATAAAATAATTAAAATTACATGATATGGGGCCTGCAGGTGGTATGATGGTTAAGGTGCTGGATTCCTACATGGCTGACCATGGTTTGGGTCCCAGACTCAGCAGTTTGAAAACTGCCCGGGCGCTTATACATGTGTACCCAAACTCCAGAGGGAAGACTGGAAGAGAAGGCATTGCAGTATGGCCATCCCCTCTTGGGGATGGGAGAGGATTTCCTTTTATTTGAAGTCTTCTTTTTTTAATAATTATTTATTTAGGGGCCAGCAGGTGGCATGGTGGTTAAGAACACTGGACTCCCACATAGCCGACTGTGGTTTGAGTGACAGATCTGGCGGCTTGCTTTCTCATTTTCCCTCTCTCTCTTCTCTATCACTCTGTCTCTCTCTGGTCAAATTTAAATTAATTAAGTAATTAATTAATTCTTTAATAAAAATATTTAATTTTATTTATTATTATTATTGAATTTGACCAGAGAGAGACAGAGTGAGGGAGAGTGAGAAAGCAAGCCATCAGGTCAGGAACTCAAACTGCTGTCAGTCAGGTAGGAGTCCAGCATCTTAATCACCACACAGGCCCCAAGGGGGGTGATTTTTACTTTCTCTCTTTCTCTGCCCCTCTGTCTCTGGCAAGTGCATGCACCTAATGGCAAAAACCTAAAAATAAAAAATAAGACATAAAATGATTATTTATATACAATGTTTAGTAAAGAACATACAAGAATTATTATATTTAGGGACCAGCAGTTAGCGTAATGACTATGTCGCTGGACTCCCATGTAGTCGACCGCGTTTTGCATCTCGGCTTAAACTCATGCCGGGTGCATGTGCGTGCGTGCCCAAGATCCCGAGAGGAGAATGGAGGAGAAGGGATTACGGCATGGCCATCCCCTCTGGGGGGTGATTTCTCATTTTCTATCTCTCTGTCTCTCTCTGTCTTTCTGGCAAGCACATGCACCCAATAAGAAAAACCTCTCCAAAAAAAGAAAAAAAAAAGAACTATTATTTTTGTACCTTACTTACTTTTCAATGAAGATATAATAGGCAAAGTAATAGGAATATGTTCAATTTCTAAACCATTCTCAGTTATTCGGCGTAATCGTCCACGTAGTTTAACATTCTTTTTTATAAATTCTACTGGAATATCTGAAGAGCTTGTAAATTTTGATGTCTGTTGATTTACAAAAAGAAAAATATGACCTTTTGTTATTTTCATTTCAAAATTTAAAATGTCAAATTATTATTTAATATTTATCAAAAAAATCAAAATTTTAATTTGATTCTTAATTTTATATGTATACCTTAAAATTACTTAATTAAAAGTATTTAAAGAAACGTTATTCATTATTTTGCTATTTCAAGCCACTATATAGAGAAAAATAGGCAAACTCCTAATTCTTAAAATCTTACAATCTCAAAATATGACATAATTCATCAAAAGGCACCTATTTGTGCCAGGAACCACACAAATTTGGTTAGTCACATCCTATTCTACATATGTACCATCTGTTCATACATGTAGTGCTGGGAAAACCTAAGTCAAATTAATTAGAACCCTTACTCAGGGCCAGCAGGTTGTGTGGTGGTTAGGGCACTGGACTCCCACGTAGCTGACCACAGTTCAAGTCCTGCACCTGGAGGTTTGCTTTCTCACTTTCCCTCTCTCTCTCCCCTTCTTCTCTCTCTCGCTTTCCTTTTCTCTATCTCTGTCTGGTCAAATTAAAAAATAATAATAATAACAAATGGAATTAAATAAATAAATAATTCTTTAAAAAAATACCAGCAGTTAGTGTAATGGCTACGTCACTAGACTCCCATGTAGTCGACTGCAGTTCAAGTTCTGGTCCCAGTGGCTTAAACTCACACCGGGCGCATGTGCGTGCATGCCCAAGATCCCAAGAGAAGAATGGAGGAGAAGGGATTGTGGCGTAGCCATCCCCCGTGGGGGTGATTTCTTGCTTTCTGACTCTCTGTCTCTGTCTGTCTTTCTGGCGAGCGCACGTGCCCTATAGCAAAAACCTCTTAAAAAAATGATATAACAAATACAATCTATGGATCAGCTGAATCCTGATTTAAATAGATCATTCATTTAAAGGGCAGGGTGGGGGCACCAGTCCCTCTGCAGTGGCACATGCCTGTGGGCCTTGCTGAGGTTTGCTTTGGGGCAGGAAAATCACAACATGACTAAGTCCTGTGCGCATGCACACACACACACACACACACACACCCACACACACACCCACACACACAAGTAGGAAAATGAAACATTGTGACTATCAAAAAAAAAAAATCCAGAAATGGATTGGGTATTGGATGATACTAAGTGATTACTGTTTTTAATCTTTTAAAATTTGATAGAGGGTGCCTGCACTCACCAGAGAGAGACACAAAGAAACAGAGAGAGTCACAAAGACACAGAGAGATAACATTAGAAAGCATACCCTGGGGAGAGAGCCATGCCACAATCCCTTCTCCATTTTCCCTTTCAGGATTTTGGGCACACTAGCACATACACCTAGCATGTTTTTCAGGTCACCACGTCTAGGATTCAACCACGCAGTCAGCCATGTACCATACAGCTGCCTTAACCACCATGCCGCTGAGTAGCTAAGAGATTATTCTTAATTTTATTAGGTGTCATAATATAAAACAAACTGACATTCTGAATCTTGATACAATAAAATAGGAAGTACACACCATCACCTTGCCAAAATTTTTAGGTAAATCTAATCAGGAAATGGACAAATTGAGATTATGGGTGCATTTTACAAATGGCTTAGACTCCAAAAAATTGTATCATAAGAGACAAAAACTTTATATATATATATATATCTTGGGATCTTGGGCACGCATACACATGCGTGAGTTTAAGCCAGCGGGTCTGGGACTTGAACTGTGGTCGACTACATGGGAGTCCAGCGACATAGCCATTACGCCAACTGCTGGTCCCCAAAAGTTATATTTTTAAAAAGTAGAGGTGAGGGGCTGGCAAGTGGCGTTGTGGTTAAAGGAACTGAATCCCCCACATGACCAACAATCGTTCAAGTCCTGGACCTGATGGTTTACTTTCTCACTCCCCCCCACTCTGTCTCTCTCTGATAAAATGATAATAATAAAGTTAAATAAAATAATTCTTTAAAAAAATAAGTGGAGGTGGGTGGTGGTTAGGGACACTGGACTCTCACATGGCTGACTGCAGTTCAAGTCCCAGACTTGGCGGCTTGCTTTCTCCCTTTCTCTCTCCCTCTCTCTCTCACTGTATCCCTCTCTGGTCAAATAGAAAGAAACCAAGGAAGAGAGAGAGAGAAAAAGAGCGAGATAGAGAGAGAGAGAAAGAGAGAGAACAAGAGAAAGAAAGAAAAAGAAAGAATGAGAGAAAGAGAAAAAAATGAAATTCTTTTCAGATTCCTTTTCAAGTATAAAAAAGGGTGATTATGGAAATAGAGGCAATACGATTACTTTCCCAAATCCTATGGATCTGTTACTTTTAAACCAAGAACTTAAAAAATATGTTCATTGTTCTAAAATATACTTAAAAGCTTCTGATGTGAAAACAAAATGATATACTGCTTGCTTGAAGTAAAAACGATCTCAAATGGAAACAAATGATTGCTTATCATAATACCTTTTTTGTTTTTTAACTTACCAGTCGCACACTCTTTAGAAATAACAATATTCCAGCTATGGCCATTCCAGTGCTGATGCTCTACAGAAAGATATTGAATGATTAATTCTCACCACTTAATATTGTAGTAGTCACAGTACTAATTAGAAGCGGGGGAAGTGTACTCCCTATATCTATCTAAGAAACGCATATCCTTCAAATGAAGGCCCACTCTTCCCAAAAACTTTGTCCACCCACTCACTAACACTCCCTTCTTTTAACGTTGTAACACTCCCAGTCTTTCCAAACAATGTGGCATGCACAGTCATGGTGTGTGTGTGCCTGCACGTGTGCGTGCATACATAGGTATACACAATATCATATTATTCTCTACTGATTGTATTACTTTGAGTATTTTAAATGCACGAACCACTCTAATACTTCTTGTACGTGCCCACAATAATTAGCAAAACCTTGCACCCACTGTGGGAATTTGGTAGAAAACATCATTAACCCTTGAAATAAAGGACCTTGGCAATTTTTTTCTTTTCATGACAGATTTTTGCTATTAGGTATGTGAGCTCACTGGAGAGAGAGAGAGAGACAGAAAGCAAGAAATCACCCACCCACCCACCCCCAGGGGATGGCCACATTGCAATCCTTTCTCCTCGGGATTTTGCACATGTGAGCACACATGCCTGGTGTGAGTTTTAAGCCACCGGGTCCAGAACTCAAACTGTGGGTGACTATGTGGGAGTTCAGTGACATAACCATTACACTATCTGCTGGTCCTACTGGCAAATGCTAATATATGTTATAATTTACAGGGAAATGGTTGGGAAAAAACTTAGTGGTTTTTTTTTTTTAAATGTTTCATTTTGAGGCCAGGAGGTGCCGTGGTGGTTAGGGTCTGGACTCCCATATGGCTAACTGCAGTTTAAGTCCTGGACCTAGTGGCTTGTTTTCTCACTTTTCGTCTGTCTCTAGTGAATGCATGTGCCTTATGGCAAATTTAAAAAATAATAATAAATAAAATTAAATAATATTTTTAAAGTTTCATTTAAACTAAGGTAGGCCTAAAGGAGCTTAAAAAAATTTAGAGTCCTGCAACTTCCTCAAAAAGTGTGATAATCTGGACCAGCAGGTTGCATGAAGGTTAAGGCTGGATCCCACATGGCTGACTGTACCATTCCAATACTGGACTTGGCAGTTTGAGAATCATGCCAGGTGCATGTGTGTAAATGCCCAAGATCCTGAGAAAAGAATAAAGAAGGGGGATGATTTTTTCACTTTTCTTCTCTCTGTTTCTGGCTGGTGTACATATCCTATAACCAAACTTAACAACAACAAAAAAAGGTGTGATAATCTAACATACTTTCCTCCACTAAATCCAGTGAGATATATGAGAAATAATGTTGAAAAAATACACCAGGGTGGGGCCAGCAGGCGGCATGGTTAAGGCACGGGATTCCAGGCGACTGATTCCGCAGTTTGAATCCTGGACTAGTGGCTTGAAAAACACTTAAGGCGCATGTGTGTGTGACCTAAGTCCCAAGAGGAGAAAGAAGAAAAGATTATGGCATGGCCATCTCCTCTGAGTGGTGATTTATCAATCTCTCTCTCTCTCTCTGGTGAGCACACATTCTCCATGGCAAAAAAGAAAATCTAAAAATAGAAAAAAAAAAAAAAAAAAGGAGGGGGGAAGAACAGAAACTGTATACCTGGATACATTTTGGGGTTCTGTGATTGGGTTATTTGGAAAAATATACCCAAGTGCTAATTTAAAAAAAAATAATTATTTATATAATTCTATTTGTTATTATCATTTTTAAATTTGACCAGAGAAAGGGAAATGAGAAAACAAGCCCCCAGGCCCAGGACTCAACTGTGGTCAGCTATGTGAGAGTTCAGGACCTTAACCACCATGCCACTGCCAGCAACCCCCAACCCCCACCCCTGGGGTAATTTAGACATTGTTTGCTCCCACAATTTTTCTGAGGTCATTTTGAAATTTGAAATAACCCATGCGTCTAGTCGTGCTTAATGGAAGAAGAAGGCCTTGTCAATTAACTTGTGTCAATCCACCATTCATTAATCTTACAAGTATTTACCTAGCACTTCCTAAGTGGCAGGCACTCCACCGAGGACTGGGGGTAGGATGGTGAGTGACAGCAGGCAGGGCCTTAGACCTGCAGAACATCTGCCAAGCTCATCTTACTCAGTTTAATAGAATTTTAAAAGGTCAACCATTCCTTCTGGAAAACAGCTTCCTCTCTTGGCTTCCAGGATAAACGGCTTTCCTTTCCCTCACTGTCTGCTGCTCCTAGTCGTTACTGACCTCCTCCTTTTCACTGCCCGAATTCCAAGTTAGAATCCCCCAGTCTAAGCTCCTTCAGCAGCTTTTCCCATTTGCTCCAAGATATCATTCAAACCCAGGCATTAAATACTAATTAGGGTTTATGCAGCTCATTCCCAGAGTTCTATGCCCAGTCCTGGTAGTCCTCAACACCAGCTCTACATCCGGTTGCCTAGAGTGGCATCTCCATCTCTGCTCTGCTCACAAGTCCAATGCCATCTTCGAGTTCACAAGCTTGGGTGGTTTTTTTTTTTTGTTCTCGATTTCCCAACAAATCGTTAATTCTACCACCACCCTTAACCCAACGGCAGCTCCTTGGATTCCTCTTTCTGTGCACCCCACATCTGACCATCCACACCACCTCAGGGGTGTTAGCCACAGTGCTCTCTCCTCGTCATCCTTGTTTGCCTGGTGGCCCGAGAGGACCCTCGCTTGCCTGAACTAGAGATCGCTCGCTTCCCTATTTTATTATTTTATTTGTTGTTAAGTGTATTACGGTCTTTCTCTGAGGTCTCTCGATAGAGCATAGCTCGGTTTGGCTGCTCATCTGAGCAGCCGGCTCCTGGGCTCTGAGGAAGCTTGCCTCTGGGCTACGCGATCTTCCTTCTGGGCGAGGGACATTTGGGGACGATTCACCTCATCTTAAGTTCTTTTGGGGGTTTCTTTTCCCGGTCGGGGTTCTCTGGGACAGCAGCGCGGCCTTTCTTACAATCTCCCCCATGCTTTTAAACGGAGGAAACGTCCGCTCCCAAGCCACCGAGCCTCGGTGCCCTCCCAGCGCCCGGCTAGTGTCGCAGCCTGAGCTGTCCCCGGGGCCCAGCACGGCCCTGCGGTGACCAGGCAGCCCGGCCCTGGCCACCCCCGCGAGGTCGCCCTCCCGGCCCAGCGGGGTTCGCCGCCCGAGGCCTCCCCGGACGCGCCCCTCGGGCTCGCCCCG